ACACACACACACACACACACACACAAGAACAATGAGGGAAAATAGATGGGGGTAAAGAGGTACTGGGTAGCCACATTTAAAAAAAAAAAACTGAACTTGACTTTTGTCTATTACAGTAGATAGGAAGTAACCATGTTAGATTCTTGTGCAAGAGACTGAGAAATAACAGCAATTCCCCTGGCATTTTGGGAAAATTAGTCTGGTACCAGATCAGGAAGGGCAGATATCTATAGCAGGGAACTACAAAACAGTGTGCTGTAATGAGTTAAATACTGGTTTAACACAGATGGTGACAGCAGAGAGGATTCAAATACAGCAATCAATATGAAAAAGAAACAGTGTGGGAACTGGTGATTGTACCCAATGAAGAAATAGGAAGACAGGAAACCATTTGACTTTGCTGAGTGGACAGGAGCCTAATGATGAGGGCCCAAACTAAGGCTGTGGCAGGAGTCACATGTGCAAGCTGGTACAAATGTAAAATAATACCAAACAGCAGCAAGGAACCGACAAAGAAGTCTGTCTGCAGGCTTAAGTGCCTGCTTGGAGTGAGAAAAATAATGCCACTATAAAGAAATGGAGAAAATAAGAACCTGGAAAAAATATAAATATCTTTTTTGTCTTCTTAATTCAGGAGTTAAAAAAAGCCATACCTGTCTACATAATAGGTTTAAACATATTTTACTCATTTATTAAATAAATACATAAGTATAACTAAGGGCAAGTCTCTATGTTAGTTACCACTTACGTAATACAAAGTTGTACCTGTGCTAAGTGAAAATTACAAAAAATTTAAAATGATGCCTGTCTTATTAAAGTTTACAACAAGCAGATTAAGAAATCAAATAAGACTGATACTCAGGTTGGCAAAGTGAGTCAAGAGGAAAAGTGCCTGCCTAGCAAGTATGGGGCTGAGTTCAAACCCCAATATTAAAAAAGAAAAAAGAAAGAGTAGAGTGATACTCAAACCAGTACGGCAGTGGCACTACAAATCAGAACAGTCATAACCTATGAGTGAGTAGCTCAAAGGTTCCAGTTACCTCTTGACTTTGGATATACATACAGCAACAGTAGGAACGTTACAAAATAGAAGATACGGTGCCAAACAGCAGTTTTCTCTAAATGGTTTGAGGGGATAAATGTAAAAGATAAAATCCCTACCCTAAAATAGCTCATCATTTAACAGGAAGAAGTAAGAGTTGGCAGGTAGAAAGGACAATGACAGGTCTAAGCACATTAGAGTGCTATTGGAGAACAGAGGAGGGGCACTTATCCCTAGCTCAGGAGAAGCAGAGAAATGTCTTTAAAAACGAAACAACTGAACTCAGCATGCCAGGCAGGGGAAAAGGACAGACAGAGGGCACCGCAGGTAGAGACACAGAGTGTGGCACAGGAAAGCACTGTGAACTTGAAGGTCTTTTGTTCCAAAAGTCATACAAACCACCCAAATTGTCAGAATGAAAAACTGAGATAGCTGTATAAAAGCCACTGCACTTACATCATAAGTACATTGCAGAGCAGTGAAAGTCTGTCTCTGGTCCATGTGCTGTCATCAGTTTGACATAGAATAAGGAAGATGGGTCATAGCTGGGCATGGTAGTCCATGCCCATAATTCCACAGGAGGCAGACACAAGAGAATTGAAAAGTTGGAGGTCAGCTCAAGCAAAATTAGGGAGACCCTATCTCAGAAACAGAACACAAACGAAGGGGCTGGGGGCATGGCTCAAGTGGTAGTTGCTTGCTTAGCAAAGAAGGAGGCCCTGGATTTAATGTCCAGTACAACCAACCTCACCCCCCCACCAAAAAAAAACCCCAAACATCAATGACAAAAAAGTGAGTCACAATCAGTATTGAAATGTATTTCCAGCCCCTGAAAATCTATACACAAGTCAGGGACTGTCTTTTGGATTCCAAGCAGGGCTGTGATAACAGGCCAGTCTTCAGCTAAAACGAATCAGGTGTAAAGATGTTTTCAGCAACTCACTACAAGGTAACCAATTCTGAGGGTACAATTTAGGGCTGGAATGGGGCCAGAAGTAAACAGAATTGGACTGAGCAGGCTGACCAGACCCTGCACAGACTTACAGATAGGTGCAAGGGGGCCTTTCTGGGACAAACTCCATCCCCAGCTCCATTCCCTGCTATGCCTCAAGTTAAAGCGAGCAGGTAGACAGACACCACCCACAGGCCCCTGGGAAAATGGCATAAGAAAAAGGCTCATCTTCCCCAATGAAATTCTGTGCCACTGGATACCGTGAGGATCGCCTGGTATCCTAGAAATACCTAGCTTTTGAGCTTTGCGTTAGCCTGGGAAATTGGTTCAAATACCACCAAGAAGTCCCGTATGTAAAACAGATGCAAGTGGAACTGTTTTGGTTCTGCAGCAGCTAGGGCTTTGATTTAGAAAATCTCTCAATAAGCCAACCTCCCCAGGCCCTTCACAGATCATCTGGCTTGTTCTGCATGGAAGGCCAGACCTTAGGGCTCAGATGCCACAATGGCATAGCTGTCTCTTTGAATAAAGCTGAAATCAGGCCTCTTTCCTATTTAAATCTGGTAAACTTTTTGTAGTATAATTATTGCAAGTTCAAATTCTGTTATGTTTCTCCATATATAGACTCTCTTTATTCTATGCTCAGAGGAAAAGAGTCTTGACAAGACACATACAATTTCCTGACTTATTTCTGTCAGATCTTCTACTGCTGCTCTTCTGGCACCAGGGGAGAAATCATAGCAACATCTGAAATATGTTTAATGGCTTAGCCTAAATGGCAATAGGAGAAAATAAAACCCCTTATAAGGGTTAAACACTATAGTGTTCAACTATCATATTAACCATAAAATCCCCAAGGAAGGAAAATGCATAATAAAGCAACACATTCCTATCACCCCATGGCAGTCTAGTAAGAGCTATTTTTAACTATTTGTTTGACAAGTACTGCAATATAACATATCAAATTATTATTTCTACTAAGTATTATCTTCATTAGTTGGATAACCTTTAACAGAGGCATTAAATCAACTCTTATGGGCTAGTCACTGATTAATTGCTCCTATATAACTCTGACCTGGATGATTCTGTGCTTTAGTTTTTTGACTGCTAAAATAGGGACAATAACTCCTGTTCCTTGCTACTTTCCATGTAAAGACAGAGTGAAAGAATATGTGCAATTATATGAAAATGCTTCAGGATGGAGACAAGGTGGGTGAAGAAGAGAAAAGTATTATCAACTTTTGTAAAACACACTAGCGTCCAGGAGAGACAGGTATCTATCTCTCCACATGGGAGTTGATTCTGCCAAGTTAGCAACAGTAATTCCAGAACAACAGACAGCCTGTGTCCCAGAATGTGCTATTGGCAATGAGGGACCCCTCCATACTCATCCTGCTGCTTTTCCCATTCACTTCTTCCTACAAGTATCTCATCCAGACCTCCCCCATTTCAGTGTTTAACTCCTATCCATTTCTTACACCTCCCTATCAAATCTTAATGCTACCATTTTCCCCCCTTCATACTGCTGTCAAAGGAAAAGTGCTGAAACATAAGGATAGTCATTTTTGCTCCTGTATTTTAATCTATAAATGCCCTCTACCCTTGTTCAACTGATAGTATAAATGCCACACATCTCAGCTGATATCCAAAACTCTCTATAGTGTGACTCACCCTAATTCTCAGCCCTTATAGCCATCACTCCTCAACTCATACCCTAGCATCCATCCATGCTCATTCATGGGTCATATTATATAACCTGTGGGACCATTCAGGAAATGTCCCTCCTAAGTTCTTATCCCTGTATACTCTCCTGTGTAGCCTCTGTATCTTTCACATACTTCTAGGGCTGTACTGACCACAATATCAAAATAGCCATGAATCCTTTCTATTAGACAAAGCTTTGTGGAGGAAGGAACAATACCTTGATACTCATCCCTGTACCCCAGAACTTGGCTTTGTAGCACTCTCACAACCATTTGTTGAATCAAAGTTCCAATTATAACTACTAGCTCATTTGATTTCATTCTCTGAACAAGAATTTAATACATATAAAACCTCGACATTCTAAGGAGAGAGTTGACAAAACAACAAAATCAGAGATCAGACACATTTAAACACAACTACAAATTGTGGTAAGCGCCATGAAGGAAACAAACAAGAAGCTGAAACAGAGAACCACTGGGTTGAGAAGCAGTGATCTACTTTAGACAAAAGGGCAGGAAAGACTTCTCTAAGGAGATACCATTTCATATGAAACTTAACTGATGGCAAACCAGTTGTGTAAAGCATATGGTAGAGAATATTCCAAACAGAAGGAATAACATAAGCAAAAGCTGTAGGTGGGAAAAGAACTGTTAGTTCATTTAAAAATGGCTAGCTTTTTGAGTGGAGAATAATGAGAAGGAAAAGTCATTTATCTAAAATGGCTGTTTGCTGAGGCCAATAGGAAAAGGGGACCAGGAACTAGAGAAAAGGTTAGATCAAAAAGAATTAACCTAGAAGGTAACACACACACACAGGAAATTAATGTGAGTCAACTCCCTGTATAGCTATCCTTATCTCAATCAGCAAAAACCCTTGTTCCTTCCTATTATTGCTTATACTCTCTCTACAACAAAATTAGAAATAAGGGCAAAATTGTTTCTGCTGGGTATTGAGGGAGTCGGGGGGAGAGAAAGGGGACAGAGTGGGTGGTAAGGGAGGGGGTGGGGGCAGGGGGGAGAAATGACCCAAGCCTTGTATGCACATATGAATAATAAAATAATAAAAAATAAAAAATAAAAATAAAATAAAATGGCTGTTTGATGAAACAGGGATAGGCGGTGGTGTTGAGCACAGTGAAGAGCCTTAATTTTACTCTAAGTGCAACAGGAAGCCATTCAAAGGTTACCAGCAGAAGTTAAAATGATGTAACTTATGCTTTAGCAAAGAGCCATAGAACAACTCCCTCAACTAGGCCACAATGACTGTTCAGCCAAGGTAAGTACCCTCATGCAAAAGCCGTACCTCTGCTTGCCATGCTAGTGTAGAGGCTGAGAGCGCAGATGTTCGGCCAGCTCCAAGAACAGCAATAGTTTCCCCATCATCATCCACCACTTTGAAGTCCAAGTCCTCATTGTATTTTCTGCGCTTCACTTGTCGTCCCGAACGTCGTTTCTGCAGAACAAACACACCCATCAGACTATCTCAGTGAATCAAAGGCAAAACCTTGCACAAAATACCCTCATCTACCCTTACTAACAGGCCAAGCAGAACTTTCTCACCTTATAAAAAGGAATCTTCCTTAAACACAACTCTTTTAAGGATGAAACTGACTCAGAATGGGATCTAGCTGAGTGAGGGAGAGAATAAAAGTCCAATCTCCAATCTGTCACAATCCACTAAGAAGAGAGCATAATCTCAGAATGCAGGAAAGTATGTTTTATTCATTAATGGCAGCGATGATTTTCCTCTATTCTGGAATAGGCTTCTGTTCCCATAATACAGGGATGGGAGGTGAACTCCATCATCTCTGAGGTCCACTCCAGCATTAGCTAGAAACAAATTTTATAACAATGATGACAGTTTTTATTTATTTACTTTGGTTGAATTCACCAGACTAACCACAAACTCCTAAGAATGTAGTGTGAAAAACTAATCAATACCAATTTTATTAAGACTTACTTTGACAATTTTATAACACTTTTTGAAACACAGGGAGATATCTTAAATGTGACAAACAGTTAGCCACCATCTAAAAACTCATCTCTCACTATAGAAAGTGGAGAGATCTCCCATGCTAATGGATTGGTAGAATCAACATAGTAAAAATGTCGATACTCCCTAAAGTAATCTACATGTTTAACGCAATTCCCATCAAAATTCCAATGACATTCATTAAAGAGATCAAAAAATCTACCGTGAAATTTATATGGAAACACAAGAGGCCACAAATAGCCAAGGCAATACTCAGTCAAAAGAACAATGCTGGAGGTATCATGATACCCAACTTCAAACCATATTACAAAGCAGTAGCAATAAAAACAGCATGGTACTGGCACAAAAACAGACATGAAGACCAGTGAAACAGAATAGAGGACCCAGATATGAAGCCACACAACTATAACCAACTTGTCTCTGACAAAGGAGCTAAAAATATACGATGGAGAAAAGACAGCCTCTTCAACAAAAACTGCTGGGAAAACTGGTTAGCAGTCTGCAAAAAACTGAAACTAGATCCATGTATATCACCCTATACCAAGATTAACTCAAAATGGATCAAGGATCTTAATATCAGACCACAAACTCTTAAGTTGATACAAGAAAGAGTAGGAAATACTCTGGAGTTAGTAGGTATAGGTAAGAACTTTCTCAATGAAACCCCAGCAGCACAGCAACTAAGAGATAGCATAGATAAATGGGACCTCATAAAACTAAAAAGCTTCTGTTCATCAAAAGAAATGGTCTCTAAACTGAAGAGAACACCCACAGAGTGGGAGAAAATATTTGCCAACTATACATCAGACAAAGGACTGATAACCAGAATATACAGGGAACTTAAAAAACTAAATTCTCCCAAAACTAATGAACCAATAAAGAAATGGGCAAGTGAACTAAACAGAACTTTCTCAAAAGAAGAAATTCAAATGGCCAAAAACACATGAAAAAATGCTCACCATCTCTAGCAATAAAGGAAATGCAAATTAAAACCACACTAAGATTCCACCTCACCCCTGTTAGAATAGCCATCATCAGCAACACCACCAACAACAGGTGTTGGCGAGGATGCGGGGAAAAAGGAACCCTCTTACACTGTTGGTGGGAATGTAGACTAGTACAACCACTCTGGAAAAAAATTTGGAGGCTACTTAAAAAGCTAGACATCGATCTACCATTTGATCCAGCAATACCACTCTTGGGGATATACCCAAAAGACTGTTACTCCAGAGGCACCTGCACACCATGTTTATTGCGGCACTATTCACAATAGCCAAGTTATGGAAACAGCCAAGATGCCCCACACTGACGAATGGATTAAGAAAATGTGGTATCTATACACAATGGAATTTTATGCAGCCATGAAGAAGAACGAAATGTTATCATTCGCTGGTAAATGGATGGAATTGGAGAACATCATTCTGAGTGAGGTTAGCCTGGCCAAAAGACCAAAAATCGTATGTTCTCCCTCATATGTGGACATTAGATCAAGGGCAAACACAACAAGGGGATTGGACTATGAGCACATGATAAAAGCGAGAGCACACAAGGGAGGGGTGAGGATAGGTAAGACACCTAAAAAACTAGCTAGCATTTGTTGCCCTTAACGCAGAGAAACTAAAGCAGATACCTTAAAGCAACTGAGGCCAATAGGAAAAGGGGACAGGAACTAGAGAAAAGGTTAGATCAAAAAGAATTAACCTAGAAGGTAACACCCACGCACAGGAAATCAATGTGAGTCAATGCCCTGTATAGCTATCCTTATCTCAACCAGCAAAACCCCTTGTTCCTTCCTATTATTGCTTATACTCTCTCTACAACAAAATTAGAGATAAGGGCAAAATAGTTTCTGCTGGGTATTGGGGGGGGGGAGAGGGAGGGGGCGGAGTGGGTGGTAAGGGAGGGGGTGGGGGCAGGGGGGAGAAATGAACCAAGCCTTGTATGCACATATGAATAATAAAAGAAAAATGAAAAAAAAAAAAAAAAAGAAATGGGCAAGTGAACTAAACAGAACTTTCTCAAAAGAAGGAATTCAAATGGCCAAAAAACACATGAAAAAATGCTCACCATCTCTAGCAATAAAGGAAATGCAAATTAAAACCACGCTAAGATTCCACCTCACCCCTGTTAGAATAGCCATCATCAGCAACACCACCAACAACAGGTGTTGGCGAGGATGTGGGGAAAAAGGAACCCTCTTACACTGTTGGTGGGAATGTAAACTAGTACAACCACTCTGGAAAAAAATTTGGAGGCTACTTAAAAAGCTAGACATTGATCTACATTTGATCCAGCAATACCACTCTTGGGGATATACCCAAAAGACTGTGACACAGGTTACTCCAGAGGCACCTGCACACCCATGTTTATTGCGGCACTATTCACAATAGCCAAGTTATGGAAACAGCCAAGATGCCCCACCACTGACGAATGGATTAAGAAAATGTGGTATCTATACACAATGGAATTTTATGCAGCCATGAAGAAGAACGAAATGTTATCATTCGCTGGTAAATGGATGGAATTGGAGAACATCATTCTGAGTGAGGTTAGCCTGGCCCAAAAGACCAAAAATCGTATGTTCTCCCTCATATGTGGACATTAGATCAAGGGCAAACACAACAAGGGGATTGGACTTTGAGCACATGATAAAAGCGAGAGCACACAAGGGAGGGTGAGGATAGGTAAGACACCTAAAAAACTAGCTAGCATTTGTTGCCCTTAACTCAGAGAAACTAAAGCAGATACCTTAAAAGCAACTGAGGCCAATAGGAAAAGGGGACCAGGAACTAGAGAAAAGGTTAGATCAAAAAGAATTAACCTAGAAGGTAACACACATGCACAGGAAATCAATGTGAGTCAACTCCCTGTATAGCTATCCTTATCTCAACCAGCAAAAACCCTTGTTCCTTCCTATTATTGCTTATACTCTCTCTACAACAAAATTAGAAATAAGGGCAAAATAGTTTCTGCTGGGTATTGAGGGGGTGGGGGGGAGAGGGAGGGGCGGAGTGGGTGGTAAGGGAGGGGGTGGGGGCAGGGGGGAGAAATGAACCAAGCCTTGTATGCACATATGAATAATAAAATTTAAAACATAAATAAATAAAAACTCATCTCTAATTAATTGGCCTGTACCTTTTAGAGAGACAACATATAACAAAGCAGTGCCGTGACTTTCCTCATACAGAAAAGCACATAGTTCCCCTCTACACACTCATCATACCCAAGGAGCAGAATCATTCAGGGAACTATTCACCAGTTATTGCAGTGTTACATATTTAAACCTTAAAAAACAAGAAGCAAAATGTCACCTTCCTTTTCCTCTAAACGGTATCTCCTGAGCATCTCTCTATGATCCCTTCATCCTAAAACACTTAACACCCCACTAAATCTCAACTCCATGTGCTTGCTCCTTTGCCAACCTGGATACTTAATAGCCACCAGCCTCAGCTTACAGGCAGTTAGTTAGGGGTTATCTGCTCTGATTCTAGGCCCCAATCACTATTACTTATGAATATCATGACATTACAAGCTGATGCCTTCCTATGATGAACATCAGTGAAAAACTGAAAGGGGTCCAGATGATTCTGGAAGGCAGAGTAGGGTGATCTTATTCTAAATGGTCTCCTTATAGCACCACAACTCAAATAAATTGCTGTGGATAGCAGAAGAAATAGCACTTTCAAGTATCAAAATTCATGTTGAAGAAAAGTTGCCTCAACTTAGGGAAATGTGCCAAATGGGCATATTTTTAGAAACTGAATTGGATGGGCTACTCTTTGTTTTCACCTTTGGCCAAACCTTTCTGTTCTGGCATAATGGATGCATCCCTGACTTTTCTAGCACCTGGGATTATGAAGAGGTCCTAGTACTCTGATGACTAAACCATTTCATATGTGACAAAATGGCCCCCTGAGATGTACCTAGCTTGGCTCAACTTCATTTTCCCTATCAGTTTCCTCTGCACCCTAATATGCTACTTTACAAGAAGGAAGCAAACAGCTCTAAAATCTGGGAGATTATCAGTACAAAGATCAGGTTAGGCAAATAGCTGTGTGTGGTATACCTGCTCACCCACCAAGAAAGTAAAAGCCCAACCCAGGTCTTCTGTAGACAGAAGGCTATAGACAGGCATCGAAGAGCACCAGACCCAGATCCATCCAGCAGCCATAACCTCCAGCAGGCTCCCAGTCACAGCTGTACCTGGCTGTCTGCAGACTCAGTGGATTCCTCGGGACTCCGCAGGGATGGGTTCGGCAGGCCCTGTTCCAGTTCTAAACTCTCCACTGTAGTTTCACTTTTCCTTTTTCCTTTTTTCTTTCTTTCCACTGGGGTTGGTCCTTGTTCCTTGCTACAAAGAGAAATTCAGAATTAAAACTGTTGGACAGTTTTGAAAACTAAGATTTCTTATTTTTTTTTCATTTTTCTTTTATTATTCATATGTGCATACAAGGCTTGGGTCATTTCTCCCCCCCTGCCCCCACCCCTCCCTTACCACCCCTCCGCCCCTCCTTCCCCCCCCAATACCCAGCAGAAACTATTTTGCCCTTATTTCTAATTTTGTTGTAGAGACAGTATAAGCAATAATAGGAAGGAACAAGGGTTTTTGTTGGTTGAGATAAGGATAGCTATACAGGGCGTTGACTCACATTAATTTCCTGTGCGTGTGTGTTACCTTCTAGGTTAATTCTTCTTGATCTAACCTTTTCTCTAGTTCCTGGTCCCCTTTTCCTATTGGCCTCAGTTGCTTTTAAGGTATCTGCTTTAGTTTCTCTGCGTTAAGGGCAACAAATGCTAGCTAGTTTTTTAGGTGTCTTACCTATCCTCACCCCTTCCTTGTGTGCTCTCGCTTTTATCATGTGCTCATAGTCCAATCCCCTTGTTGTGTTTGCCCTTGATCTAATGTCCACATATGAGGGAGAACATACGATTTTTGGTCTTTTGGGCCAGGCTAACCTCACTCAGAATGACGTTCTCCAATTCCATCCATTTACCAGCGAATAATAACATTTCGTTCTTCTTCATGGCTGTAAGACTTCTTATAATAATTAAAGACATGAAATCACACCCTGGAATTCTAGGACCAGAATAGGCTTTAATGGAGAATTTCCAAGAATTTCTTCCCAGAAATGTAAAGAAATAAGAGAAAAAAATATTTATGTGAATTAAAGCAGAATTCACTGTTACACTACTATGAGTACTCCTGAAATGTGCTAAGAAATAACATGAACATCTCTAAAAACTTCACTTTCAGTTTAAACAAATGTCTTTATTAGAAAGTTTGATTGCTTCAGATTATAAAGAATCATCAAATTACAATGACTCTTTAGGTTACATGGGAAGAAACATCTCCCTAATCTGTTATCCTCCTCTATTGAGCATGATCTATACACAAGGCCCAAGTGAGCACCAGAAACCCAAAAATGAAGAGAACACTGTCCTTTATCTTGAGAGGCATACAGTTGAAAATCCTACAGTGCACCTACAGCCACAGCTCAGGTAGTAACATGAGTCCTTCCTCAGAGATGCAGAGATGGGCAAAGTCCACCCATCCTCCAAGGCCTTGCCAAGATGGTAACAACTCCTCTAGAAAGATGGTAAACTTCTTTTCCACACCTGAAACACTTCAATTGTGCTTTGCTTAAGATACTCAAACTCTCATCTTTTTAGTCATTAACCATGACACTAGCCTCAGAACTCATGTAACTACATACAATGCCTGGATCCTTTGCAGTTGCTCAATAAACATTTGCTGAATATTTTATACTTTCCTGATCTCTCCTATTAGACTCTAAGTTCCTTGAGGGTGGTATTTGATTAGGCTTTGTATTCCTCTGAGTGAACAATCTTATGCCTTATACAAAGTAAGTATTTAATATTTAAGCAAGTCTTTAAAAAATTTTAAGCAATGGACAGATTGATGCATTTATGGATGGATAAGATTACTTAGGTAGCTAAGGAAATTTGGGAAAACTTAATTTGTGCAGAGATATACATAAAGTTTTGACAGATATTAGGTAGAAATAACAGTAACAGTAATTAATAATAATGACTGAAGCTAATACTTATGTGGCAATGCCTGCAGGCATTGTTCGTATAGAACATGGATTATCTCAACAAAACTATGAGACAGACAGCATCTTTATTCTTGTTTTACCATGAGGCATCTGAAGCATACATAGTGAGATTAAGTGAGATTTCCAAAGTAACAAGGCAGGGAATCATGGAGAAAGCCTCTGAACCTAGGCAGTTTATGCATTCTTGGGGAATCACCACTGCATTCTTAGGGAACAGAACAGTACCTACCACGGACACATTTAATAAGAGACAGCTGTGTGGCTGGATGTCAAGGCAAGTGCACAGAAACACTATGTGACAGAGCTGGAAGGAAAAATTAAGGGCACATGAGGCCAGAGAGTTTAGACATTTTCCTGTGGGGAAAACCAGTAAGGGCTCAAGCCCAGCAGGAGTGGAAGCAGTAAGTCTTAGCAAGTGACAGAATGTGGAGGACAAGGAAAGAGCCAACGTTACTGGTGTTTCCCATCAGAACTAGTTGACAGTGAGAAAAGAGGGAAAATGAATAATCTTGTTACAAAAGAAAGGTCCAGCTAACCAACACTAGCCAATGACTCAGGCTGCTTCTCTCAAATACCCTTCATCCTATAGACCCCGAAGGCCAGCACAAACTCAGTCCATCTTTGATGTTACAGGTTGAAGAGTGTTCTGGTCCAAACTGAGGAAATGAAATTCAAAGACTACTGCCATTTTAGAGGATTACATATTTTAATGAGAGGTTTTGTACCCTGGAGCAGGGGAAAAAAGAAAAAAAAAAAAAAAGCAAAAGTTCTTCCACTTCTTACCAGTATAGAGAAGAGACTCAGGTAAAACAGTTTAAAAAGATTCTAAACTTTCCACAGAGTACTTATCTCACGTTCTATGGCTTCTCATTACAAAAAAAAATTACATTGTAATTATATTCTTTGGTGAAAATATTTATGTGACTCAATGAACTGTTACAACCTCAGTCCCCTAAAGAAGCTGCAGCAAATATTCCTCATATTCCAGATGAGGAATCTGATGTTTAAAAGCAGCAAAAGTCCTAAGTCAGTAGTAGGATAGAGGCTGACACTCTTGTTATCTTAAGTCATAGGGTATTGCTTTTTCACATCACATAGTGTTTCCTGGCTCTATTTTTTCCTGCTACAATGGCATTTTATTTATTTACTTAATATGAATATGTATATTATTTTTATTTTTATTTAAAATTATTGTTGTACTGGTGGTACAATTGGTGGACATTTACAAAAGTTTCTTAATACTATATCATAGTTGAATTCACCCCCCTCTCAATCATGCTTTTATCCACCCTCTCCTGGTTCTATTTTAAAATAGCAGGCTTCCTTGATGAGTGTAAAAATTTTCAAATTTCCTTTAATGTTATTTGAATTGCTAAAAGGATAAGCAACAAACATTTCAAATGACCACATATAGAAAAAAGTTCACAAATCCATAGTTGATGATTTTTGGCTACTTAGCAAAATAAGTTATGTTTTTCTTGACACAAATTTAAAGGAAGCTGGTAATATCCTAAAGTCACCATCATAATCACATGCCCAGAGGCCCACTGAATCTTTAAAAACTCAAGAATTTATCTACATATTAAATCCAACTTTACTTGTTTAGAAAAATTATCTATGTATGTTTTATCTTCATACATGCTGGAAACACGTTCTTTACTATGTAACATCATACGCAAAGATAAACCAAATCCAAACCTAATGAAGAAACAGAAATCTGGATGGGAAACAGAGAGAGTGACTAACCAATGTAACAATGTAAGGCCCTCCCTTGTACAATAAACATATGCTAATAAAAATGGGGAAAAAAGGAAAAAAGAAACAGAACCTCTTCAAATAAGTTATTTTACTATGAAGATGTACGCGCATTTTCAGAAATACATTAATGATGAAAACAAAGGGAGTCAGGGTGAGACCACTTCCAAAGCCAAGGCTGGGCATTATTAAATATTCTTAGCCAAAGTTGGGTTAGGTGAGGTGGGAGAAGACTTTCTCAATAAAACTGACAAATGTCTGCTGAAACTGCTCACTTATTTGGATGTAAATAAGAAGAACTCTATGTGGGAAATTTTCAAAGTGATTTTCTGAAGGTTACCTTTGGCACAGAATCAAGTTTTGAGTTACAAAATTCTTTCTGGACTTCTTCTGATAAAGACAAAATAATCAGGAAAGAATGATTTCTTGTAAGCTTACAAATGGGATTTGCAAAATAGGGACATCAAGAAAATATCCCTGGATTCCATCCTCCAGAATGACTCTAGATAAAATGTATTTTTCCTGTTTGGAGTAAGTTTTAAAAACATTATGCTTGAAGCAGTTTTATCAAATGAAAACATTTTTATCGCTAAATTTCTATTATTTGTAGGTGAACTTGATCCACGAATATTTGCTTGCTCCTTTAAGTTCCAGGTTCCTCAAAAATAGTGGAAAATAAATATCTAACTAAACTAGATACATATGCATATACTCTCTGACTCAACATTCCACTGACAGAAATTTACCTCAAGATAACACCTCCAATAATATGAAAACATGTATGCATGAGGTTTTAATTAACAGCCATTACTTGGTAATTGCAAGGCAATGAAAATGACCTGTCCTAAACATAAGTGGAATGAACAAATTAGGATGCATAAAACAGAGTATGATGCAGCTATAACAACAATTAAAAAAGAATCCTATAAACTAATATGGAATGAATCTTAAAATAATTAAATGGGAAAAGCAAAAAGTGCAAAAGAACATCCTTTTGTGTAAAAATAAAAGAACAAAGTATGTATCTATTTATTATTACAAAAGAAAACACAAGAAGGATAAGCCAAAAACAGTAGTGATCTGCAACAGATAGGGAGGGACAAGGACAGGAGGAATACAGAAGAAAGTGATACTTCTCTGAGCAAACCTTTTTTACAGATTTGACTTTTGGAGAGATGTTAAAAGTTCTACATATTAAAAAAATTAGAAAACTAATGAATGAAAACAAAGCTCAAGCAAATGAACCCCAATGTGTTTCAAACCGATAGCTTGCTGGTAGAGTGGTTCAAATGGTAAAGCAGTGTCTGTCCTGGCAAACATGAGGACCTGAGTTCAAAAATTCCAGTGCTGTCCAACAAAAAAAGAAAGAAAGAAGAAACCAAACAAATAGCCTAAACCACTGCATGGAAAGAAAAAACAAAACTAAGCACCTCGATTCTATGGATTTATAGACACAGCATTTAACAATATACTATCAGCTTTTGGGAGAAGGTGGGTGTTATGGTTTGAATCTGAAATG